AGTTGAAGAGACGCTGTGATTGGCTCAGATGATTGTCAATTAGAACACTCATTAACATAATTACCCGTTGAAAAATCGCCGGGTTTCTGCAGTGTCGATAGAGGGCCATGCAGAATAAACCAGTCGGGGTGATTTCGCAGTTACAAGGGATTTTGCGCTAACACCTCCATTTTGCAATTTATTTAAATTATTTAAACTACAAAAACAAATTAAACGCCCCGACTGCGCCAGTCTACCATTGGTGGAGAACATCAACAGTGGTAAGTTGCATTCTGGGTAATTATGTCTTATTCTATGCTGCTAGTCCAACCATTGGTGGAGAACATCAAAAGTGATAAGTTGCATTCTGGGTAATTATGTCTTATTCTATGCTGCTAGTCCAACCATTGGTGGAGAACATCAACAGTGGTAAGTTGCATTCTGGGTAAATATTTCTTGTCCTTAGCTGCCAGTTCAACCATTGGTGGAGAACATCAACAGTGGTAAGTTGCATTCTGGGTAATTACGTCTTATCCTTAGCTAATAGTCCAACCATCGGTGGAGAACATCAACAGCTGTAAGTTGCTTTCTGGGTAATTACATCTTGTCCTTAGCTGCTAGTTCAATCATTGGGGAGATCATCAACAGTGGGAAGTTGCATTCTGGGTAATTACGTCTTATCCTTAGCTAATAGTCCAACCATTGGTGGAGAACATCAACAGCTCTAAGTTGCTTTCTGGGTAATTACATCTTGTCCTTAGCTGCTAGTTCAATCATTGGGGAGATCATCAACAGTGGGAAGTTGCATTCTGGGTAATTATTACTTGTTCTATGCTGCTTGCCCAATTATTGGTGGAGAATATCAACAGTGTAAGTTGCATTATAGGGAATTATGTCTCATCATATGCTGCTTGCCAAGTAAATGGTGGAAAACATCAACAGTGGTAAGTTGCATTCTGGATAATTATGTCTAGTCCTATGCTGCTTCCCAGTCATTGGTGGAGAATATTAACAGTGGTGAGTTGCATTCTGAGTAATTAGCTCAACATTTTCAAACTTGATGATAGACAATTATGGCTTTACAAGTACAAGTACAAGAATATATTTCTCTGCTGCACAATTAAGCTCAAAAGCGATATTCAGACATCTTGAGATACATTATGATTTTCACTTCTTTGAGATTAATAAATATGGTCGACTGGCAACGACAGTGTATTTTGGTCATGGTGCACGAGCTTGAACGTATCTGCATTTAAGCTTCCATATTTGATTGACCACAGTGACAAATAGTCACTGTATCATTTCAATCGTCTTGTATTGTATATCTTGTTCTTTCACCACAAATTTTATTTGTTTGTATTCCAGGCATCGTATAACATTTAACAGTTCAGTGTTTTATTTTGAAGTGAGCAATCTAAAAAGTTTTGTTCAATATGAATTTAAAATACAAGCAAAGAATAATGTGGGTTTTGGTGGTAATTCACACACCGTTACAGAGTATACCATGGAGGCAGGTAAGAGATACAATGCTGTATATAATGCTTTATTATGCAGTCTTTGCTGCATTACTGAACATGCTTTCTTAAATATATATATATATCATCATGTTTCATTTAAAAAGTTTACTTGCTTTTCAATAAATTTAATTTATTTATATTTATGTTATAGTAGTTTGTAGAATCATTATTAATAATAACATCCTATTTGTATCATGACTGATTTGAATTGACCAATGGGCTTTCTAGAATTTCTGTAGTTATATGTCATAACATGGATAACAACAGAAATGATTTGTGATGTAATTTGACATGGTGGTCATGTTGTTCTATTTTTGAGTGAACATTGTCATGCGCTTTATGACTACTTTTTCAAAAATTATGAGTAGGCTTCTAACTTCACTTCTCGATTCTGCATTGTCAGATTTTATAATAAGTTATTAATAATTCAGCAACATACAAATGGAAACATTGTATGTCATTGACATTTATCTTTTTTAAAAAATTGTTTTGTACCATGAGTAATACCTAAAAGGACAGTTAATAATAGTTTAAACTCTAAATATTGAATATAAGAATCTTACACACTGACTGAATGGAACTAATATGTGATACTTTCTTTGTGCTCCATGTTCAACGTATAGTGAAAAGTTCCAATTATTTATAATAGTTTTTCATTAATTGTACATGTACTGGTACATGTATATGATTTAAAATGACCTGTACTTTCTATTTGTAGAACCTACTGGTCCTGCAACCAATTTAACTCTGCGTTCTATAGAGTCTAATCCGCACAGTTTATCAGCCAGTTGGATCCCTCCATGCCTTGATGATAGAAATGGAATTATCCGGGGCTATATCATCAAATATTGCCCTCATGTCAAGAATGGTAACATCTCTGGTCAGGCATACCCTTGTGAAGGTATATACAATACAACTACATAGTATCGGTTTGACTTATTTTTTGCTACAGAATCACTTCAGCATTGTGTAAACAAAAGACTGCCAAGCTTTGCTATAATTTTCCTAGCATTGCATAAATTATATTCACCTATAATTGTCATTGATATTCACCTATAATTGTCATTGATAATTGTTCCACTGTTTGAATAAATTATTCCAAGCTGAGCTTTAATAAGTGTCGATCATAAACAGTTAAAGAACTTCATACTACAGTATTATGTCCATCACAGAACTGTCAAAAAGGAACCACCCTGCAAAATGCTCAATACGCACTTGATGATAAATAAAAATGATAAATAATTTTGCTATTATACTACTTTATTCACTTCTGTCACCCTTTTCAAGGTGACGCTCCCATTGATTTGAAATAGTAAAAGTATAATTATCTGAATAATCTAACAGTTCAAGTTTGTGATCACAAATGATACAATGTGCCAAATAATTTATAGTGGCATTCATTTTAAATGATTTAATCTAATTATGCACATAGAATAAAATAAGTACTTGTTGTATCTTCAAAACCCATTACTTAAACCATCATTTCAATCACTAAATATACAGGGTATAATAATTATCGCTACCTCTATGCTGAAGCAAAGCTATGCGAACACAAACAGAAATATGCTATAATGCCACATTGTTGCAAAGCCAGTCTTTAGTTTAATGCTAAGCTGTATGGGAAAAAACCTTATGCTTATGTAACAGTTCTGTGCCAAAGGGCCAAGATCATCGTGTCATTGTTTGATATGGGACTCTCATAGCGATGTATACAGTGCGTGTAAAATACATTGTTTGTTTACATGGAATTCATGTAAACATTAACCTTTAATGATCATGTCATGTTTCTTAAATATCTATAAACAAATATATCAAATATTTAAGAAACTACAATTATATCAGCCTGTGAAGTATAATTAGTATTAATTTAATCAATATGTTTGCTTTGTATTTTTTATTTTTAGATCAGATAATATACGAGGCTAAATATACTGTAGTCAATCCTGAATCATTGGAATCCAGTGCTTCCACTTGTCACTATGACATCACTAATCTACGTCCAAATACGGAGTATGCAGTGTGGGTTTTGCCGTTTAATAATAAAGGTCTAGGAAGCGAGGCAACAAATATTGTAACTAGAAAAACTAGTGAAGGGAGTAAGTATTATTTCATCTTAGCCCAACTTAAATTTTCAAATTATTCAGCATGTACCAGTGGTATAGCAATCATCGTGAATTTCATGTATTTTATGGTGAGAATATATTGTAA